TCTTCCATCTCTTGAATCCTGTTGGATACACTTACATCTTTAGTTCCTGATCGTTTATCCAACCTTTCCATTTCCAACATGGTCTCATTCTGTGTTTTCTTTATTGTGTGTATTTCAGCTTTCATGTTTTGAACTATTTCAAGAGCTTCCTTCACTTGCTTGGATGTTTTTTCTTGGCTTTCTTTGGATTCTTTAAGAGATTTATTTATTTCTTGAATTTTTTGGTTTGTCTTTTCCTCCAATTCATTTAATTTTTTGTTTGTTTTCTCTTCTATTTCTTTAAGGGATTTTCTTGTTTCCTCTTTAAAGGTCTCTATCAACTTGCTGAGATAATTTTTGAGGTCCATCTCATCTTCATGCTCTGTGTTGGGCTTTTCAGCTCTTGCTGGAGTGGAGTCCCTAGGTTCTGGTGGTGTCATGTTGGTCTTTGTGTTGTTGAGTGAAATCTTATTCTGTCTTCTCCCCATATCCTTTTAGTGGGTGCGGGTGGGTTCTCTCTATCTCCTCTTGTGGCCCAGTGGTGTGTGGGGGCTAGGAATTCGATGTCCACAACTCTAGATGATCTCGACGCTCCTGGTGGTCTCCTCGCTAGTTCCTAGTTTCTTGGTCGTTCGGCGGAATGGAAGAGTGGGGTGCTACCAGATTTGGGGCACAGGGAGCTCCTCCCTGCCTGGGCTTGTCTGGCCCAAGCCGGCAGGCACAGGCGGGGGTGGTGGGATGGGGGTGGTGGGGTGTTCTGGTCTGGGGCCGGGAGCGGGCAGGAGCTCACTCACCTAGTTCCAGGTCAGTCTGCGGCGGCGGAATGTAAGCGGATTGTTCGTACTATAAAAACAAAAATTCTTCACTTTGCAAAGTACTCACGTGTATCCCCCCTCTTTTTTTTTATGCTTCATCGCCGTTCACTTAAAATATTATTTGCTTGACAAACTCACATATGTTCTGCTTTTGGCATAGAAGAGACACATGAGTGCTCTTAAAAGCTGCCTTTTACTTTTGAAGCTCTTGTTTTTCTTTTGGCTTTTCACGTATATCTAAGAAACATGTTCTCAGGGACATAAATAGACTGGGAATCTTAGGGTGTGACAAATAAGCTCATTAGTGGACTAAGGCATGAGAGTTGTCTCTATATTCCAATGAAATACCAATGACTGCTCCAATAGCCCTTATTGACCCCAGCTAATAATGCCCTGTATCCTTGTGTGGTCTGTAGATGTAGATGAGTGCCTGGAGCAGAATGTGCGCTGTGGGCCGAATCGAATGTGTTTCAACATGAGAGGAAGCTACCAGTGCATTGACACACCCTGCCCACCCAACTATCAACGGGATCCTGTTTTGGGGTATGTTTCACCTTCTTATCCCAGACATGCTTCTAGAAACCTTCTCTTTGACCAACACAAGCCTTGTCTACAGTCATGTTTAACTCATAGTAAATCAGTAACCGTGAGGGGACACAGGCTGACCATGTGTTCCTTTGTCTATAAATGGACAAGACATGAACTCATCAAGTAGATTTCAATTGCAAACCAAACCATCTCATTTGTGCCTGCCAACCCTTCCTGGATGAGATTTCCATGGTGAAGTCACAGTGCGGAGTCCAGGGCTCTCCCACAACAGCAGATGTTTTATGGGGTTCAGAGTCTGCCTTTCTTTTGAGAATTCCCCCATTTCCATTTGTACTGCCTCAAGCTGGTAAGTACTGTCAGAAGGTAGACTGATCAAGAAGTACCTTTTCTGTTGCAATGGTGACTCATCATACAGCAAGAGAAGGAGAGAAAAAAGATGAGTCAATAGTCTGCCCATTGATGATGTCTTCCTTACATTTCCTGGTGTCGGACAGTCTCCTTGGTTCTGGATAAACTTTTCTAATATTCCCCATGTTGTCCAGGTACTAAGGTAACTGGGATGCTTGAAAACAAGGGATAATGTTCATCTTAGATGGTCCCTTCTCATTGACAAATGCTCAAGTTACTATAGCATGGCCCAGTGTGTATTGCCCAGAACCTCCATAAAATTGTTTGTGAGTAATATCATAGGAATGGAAAAAAGAAAGAAAGAATTAAAGATATAGAGATTTACAATGTATCTAAAAAAAACTATGAATAAAGACTCTATGTTTTCATAAAATAGTCCTTTGTGGGGTTTTATCCCTGTAGATTTCTAGAAAAAAATAATTTAAATGTCATTATGACTCAGTGTAGGTTCTTAAAGGGGAAAATTGTTTTTAATATAAAATAATATGCAATAGAAGTTAAAAAGGAAATCACCCTCCCTAGAAATCCTAAGTGACCTCTAATTGTTCTGAGAAAAATAAACCAAATAAATAAATATTCTATTTCAATCTTCAACCAGCATTAGGATGAATGCTATAATTTGGCTTATAGTCTTCTCTCTAGGAAGCACTTGTTTCCAAGAATGTCAGATGCTTTTGTTTGTAAAACTGACTTTTCATTTTAAGGCCAGTGCTCTTTAGACCATGTTGGATCTGTGGTAGAGCATGTACTTAGTATGTACAAGGCCCTCATCCAATGGAAGCACCCCACCAAAAAGGAATTAAAATATTCTTGCTTACTTCAGGAACTCCAACTTCTGTTTTTAATGGAGCAGGGGTATTGATGCTTGACTGTAGAGCAGGTTATTCTCTTAGCTACCTGGCATCTCTTTGGAGCTAGTGATCCAGGACATGGGAGAGCCACATTTTGTAAGTAAACAAATTGCTAAAAGTCATCATGGATTGTGATTGCTTGTGCCATGTCTTATCCTGCTCCAAGGTGTATAACCATGTGCCTCTCGTTTATTTTCTAACCTTAGGTTCTGCCTTAAGAACTGTCCACCCAATGATTTGGAATGTACCTTGAGCCCATATGCCTTGGAATATAAACTTGTCTCTCTCCCATTTGGAATAGCTGCCAATCAAGATTTAATCCGGCTGGTTGCATACACACAGGATGGAGTGATGCATCCCAGGACAACGTTCCTCATGGTAGATGAGGAGCCAGCTGTTCCTTTTGCCTTAAGGGATGAAAATCTGAAAGGAGTAGTGTACACTACACGTCCACTACGAGAGGCAGAGACCTATCGCATGAAGGTTCGAGCTTTATCCTACAGTGCCAATGGGACCATTGAGTATCAGACTACATTCATAGTTTATATATCTGTGTCTGCCTATCCATACTAGGAAGTACTCCAGAACCTAGTCCAAATATTTAAATTGCATTAACCATGACAATCAAGGACCCCTACAGTTTACTATCTCTTGAACAGTTGCAATCTTGGCAACTTGAAAATGGTGCTGTACTCTGTTATCTGTGTGTTCCTCAGTACTGCTGAGGCATCTGTATAATCCCACTATGATCATGTATCTTCCAGTAAGGTCTAGTAGAGTCCTTAGTTATTTTCTTTATTTATTACACTGGAGCCTCCCAAAGATTATTCTGATCAGCTAACAGGACATATCGCTGATGTTGTATAGTAGCATAGTAGCTAAGATCATTTTCTTGGAAACAGTAAAAAAAAATTCAAATAGATTTTTGAGCATTTGGCTATTCTTAGAAGGGTAAAACCAGTTATTATGTGTTTTTGATAAAAGCTGATGACATAAGATTTTTAAAATATTGATTTTATACATCTCCTTTCAAGTTTTTTTTTTAATTTTAAGGTTAAAAAAACAAACAGCACTATTTCTGAAATATAGTACAAATATAAGTTTGTTTGATCCTACATGGAGTTTACCATGATTAAATACTCAAGATACGTACCCAGTGGTTTCATGAAATCATCCAAATCTCTTGCTATGCTTTCAGAAAGTTACTTTCCCTTCAGACAATCACCCATGGCATGGGTTTTTGACATATCAATATAACCTTTTATTCACTCAGCTCCATAACTTTTACATTCCATATTTTTATCTTAAAACATATCAATAGAACAGATTTCTTGATTATTTGTAATCATATATGTTCAAGTTAACATGTTAAACGTCAATACACTGTACATGGTGGTAACAGACTCTGTAAGCAATTGTCAAGATGTATTCTATTTTTATGAAGTGTATATATTAACTTAGTGTGTATTGTCTATATAATATCTTGATGGACTCTTTTATAAAATTATTTTATAAAAAATTACAGTAAAATCAGCTTAAATAAAATTTTCACCTCTTTTTCTTAAGAACCTAAAATGTGTCTCCTTATAGATGGTATTAGTTTCTTCTCTGTTGCTGTGATAAAAAGACTCTGGGGAAAAAGAGTGAAGAGAGAAAGGGCTCGTTTGGGTTTATAGTTCTACAAGAAGAAAGTCCATAATGGCAAGGAGGATGTGGCAACATCAGGAAAGACATGGAAGCTAGTTGATCACATTACATTCACACTCAGAAGCAGAGAGAGAACAAGCTGGACCAGATCATAAAACCTCAAAGTGTTCCCTTGGTGACAGGTGCTGCCTAGGGATGCTGGAGGTGTTGGAGGTACTGGGAAGATAGGGGATGTTGGAGTGTGAGGGGTGGAAGTAATAGATGGTGTGGGTGCTGGAGTAGACAGGCAAGGGAGAAGCAGGAAAGCAAGGTTTGGCCTCTCTGGAGTATAGATCCTCAAGGGCTATATTTAAAGTGGGCTGGAAGTCACAGGAGTGTTCTAACCTTAGGCAATCCCAGCTGAGAGCTCAGATATCATGGCTAAAGGTGACAGTGATGCCATTAGGTAATTTAGTGGGGTCTTTTGACTCTGGGAAGGAGTTAGACAGTTCCATAACCTTCTGAGACAGTGTCACCAAAGAAGAACCAAGTGTTCAAACAGGTGAGTCTATGAGGGACATTTCACATGTGAATCACAACACAGTCATTATAAATACTAAAGTTTTAGGTCTAAAAATGAATGTGTAGGCATCACAACAGCCCAATATACATGGTATTACCAGTCATATTTTACAGGACCTTGGGCACAGACAACTTATACAACTTAAGAGAACTCAGTGGCAGAAATGTCATTCTTTCTGTACCTGAGTAAAAGTCCTCCCTACCTCATAGTTTCCCCATGCAGTACAGTCTCCTTATATCTCAGCTAATGGATAAATCCCTCAAAGAAACATGAGAAAACACAAACAAACAGTGGAAGTAAAAGAATAAAACAGGTAAAGACCTGAACATAGAAATAAAATCAATAAAGAAAACCCAAACTAAGGGAAATCTGGAAATGAAAAATTTAAGAACTCCAGAGGCAATCCTCACCAATAGAATACAACAGATAAAGAGAGAACCTCAGGCATTGAAGAAATGATTGGAGAAATAGATGCCTCAGTCAAAGAAAATGTTAAATCTATAAAAATCCTGGTACAAAACATCCAGGAAATCTAGGACACTGTGAAAAGACCATATCTAAGAATAATAAGAGTAGAGGAAAGAAAAGAAACCCAGGTCAAAGGCTCAGAAAATGTTTTCAACAAAGTCATAGAATAAAATTTCCCTAACCTTGAGAACCAGATACCTATCAAGGTACAAGAAGCATAAAAAACACCACAGAGACTAAAGCAGAAAGGAAAATCTCCTTTGTCCATAATTATCAAAACATTAAACCTACATAATAAACAATATTAAAGGCTTCAAGGAAAAAAGACCAAGTTGTAGCACAAATAATAAGACCCAGAGACAGATATTGGAGTTCAAGCTTCAAGCTGAAGATCAGAAGAATAAAAGAGTCAGCTACTAGCTCTTTACCTCTACCTCAGACCAAAGGGGTGATCCTCAAACTGCTCCCAACTTCACTGCTCCTCAGATTCACTCAGATTTCTATGCTCTCCTCGACGTGGCTAGAGACTAAATCTCCACATGAGACCCTTTGCTTTTTATACCTGCCCAGGGCTGGGATTGAAGGCATGCTGAGATCATCTTTGTATGAGCTGTTTCTCTTTTGGACTGGATCATTCTTGTGTAGATCTGGGTGTCCTTGTACTCACAGAGATCTATCTACTTCTTAATCCTGAGTTCCTGGATTAAAGGTGTGTACCAACACCACCTAGCTTCTATAGCTAACTAGTGTAGCTGCTTCGCTATGTTGATCCCCAGTGGCTTTAATAAATCATAAACAATATATCACCATACAAAATACCATATAAAGGCAAACCTACTAGAAAAATAGAAGGCATTTTAATGAAAACTCTAAAAGCAAAAAGAGATTTGACAAATGTGCTGAAGACTCTAAAAGACCACAGATGCCAGTCCAGACTAAAGTACCCAGAAAAAATTTCAACCACAGTAGAAGGTTAAAGAGGTTAACCACACCTATGAAAACATAAGAAATAAATAATCCCAGACCATCAAATCAAAAGAGGGGAAAAACACACACAAACATTCTCTCACCGCCCCACACACACACATACACACACACACACACACACACACACACACACACACACACACACACACACACGTACCCATGTACACATGCACGCATGCACACACCCACACCCCACAATAACAGCAAAATAACAGGAATCAAAAAACAATGCTCACTGATACCTCTCAACATCAATGGTCTCAATTTCCTAATAGAAAGACACAGAATGGATGCAGAAATGGGACTCATACTTTTACTGCCTCCAAGAAGCATACCTTCACATCAAGAATAGACACCTTATAGTAATAATGCATACCTTTAAGCCCAGCACTTGGCAAAGTAGAGTCATATCTCTGAGTTCAAGGCCATCCTGGACTTCAGAGCAAGTTCCAGGACATCTAGGGCTCTGCAGAGACACCTTGTCTAGAGAAGCCAAAAAATAAAATTTAAGTAATTAATTAAAAAAGAATAGACATCCATGCTAAAAAGATAGGAAAAGATATTCCAGGCAAATGGACCAGAGAAGAAAGCTGGCATGCCATTTTAATATCTGGCAAAATAGACTTCAACCAAAATTAACTGAAGAGATAGTAAAGGTCACAACATGGTCATCATAGGAAAAATCCAACAAGAGGGCATTGCAGTTCTTAATACCCAAGCATAAATGTGGATATTAGCTGTTAAGTCAATGATAACCACAGAGGTTAGGTATAGAGAAATAGACTAAAAGGATAGAGATAGACCTTGTTAGGAAAAGGAAATAGATTATAGTGCTATAGGCCTGAAAACAGCTTGGTATTGGCACAAAAATAGACAGGTAGACTGATGGGGAATGTACTGTGTATGTTTATGTTATTGATTATTGAATAAAGTACTGTTTGGCCAATGCGACAGCAAGTTAGACAGGACTAGAAGTCAAAGAGGATTCTGGGAAATGTAGTAGAGAAGTGATGATCCAGGCAGGAAGTGACATAGCAAGGAGACTCATATTTAAGCAAGGAGAAACAAGAAGTGTCCTTTTTTTCCTTCCACTCTTCCTCCAGCAGCACAATGTGATCCACTGGCAAGAAGGGACACCAATGGAAGGTGTCTGATAAGTCTTATAAAATATATAGATTTATGATAATTAAGACTGAGCTAACAGATGAGAATCCTAGTCATTGGCCAAGCAGCACTTGTACCTAACACAAGTTTCTATGTATTAATTTGGGCCCTAACTCAGGCGGGCAGCTGGCATAAAGCGCACATGTGGCGGTGGGGCTCAGCGGCTTTTGGCAGAAAGATTTATCGTAACAGTAGACCAATGGAATCAAATTGAAAACCCTGATTTTAACCCACATACTTATGAACACCAGATTTTTGACAAAGATGCTAAAGATATACAGTGGAATAAAGAAAGCATCTTCAACAAATGGTGCTGGCATAACTGGATGCTAGCATGTGGAAGACTACATAGATCCATGTCTATTGGCATACACAAAACTTAACTCCAAATGATCAAAGATCTCAACATAAATCCAGTCATACTGAACCTATTAGAAGACAAAGTGGGAAATACCTTTAAATTAATTGGTACAGGAGACCGCTTCCTGAACATTACACCTGTAGCACAGACACTGAGATAAAATGAAGCTTTTAAAAGGCAAAGGACACAGTCAGCAAGACAAAACATCAGCCCACAGAGTGGGAAAAGATATTCACCAACCCCATATCCAAGAGAGGGCTGATCTCCAAAATTTACAAAGAACTCAAGAAGCTAGTCTCCAAAACACCAAACAATCCAGTTAAAGAGTGGGGTACAGATCTAAATAGACAATTCTCAATAGAGGAATCTAAAATGGCTGAAAGACACATAAGAAAGTGCTCAACATCCTTAGCCATAAGCGAAATGCAAATCAAAACAATTCTGAGATACCATCTCACTCCAGCCAGAATGACTAAAGTCAAAAACACCAATGATAACTTATGCTGGAGAGGATGTGGAGAAAGAGGAACACTCCTCCACTGCTGGTGGGAGTGCAAACTTGTACAGCCACTTTGGAAATAAGTATGGAGATTCCTCAGGAAAATGGGAATCAGTCTACCACAAGATCCAGCAATTCCACTCTTAGGCATATACCCAAAAGAAGCATGTTCATCCAACAAGGACATCTGTTAAACTATGTTTATAGCAGCATTATTGGTAATAGCCAGAACCTGGAAGCAACCTAAATGCCCCTCAACTGAAGAGTGGATACAGAAAATGTGGTACATTTACACAATGGAGTACTAGTCAGCAGAACAAAAACAACAGAATCTTGAAATTTGTAGGCAAATGGATGGAACTAGAAGAAACCATCCTGAGCAAGGTAACTCAGTCACAAAAAGATAAACATGATATGCACTCACTCATATATGGACTTTACACATAGAGCAAAGGATTACCAGCCTACAAGAAGTTAGGCAACAAAGAGGTCTCTAAGAGAGACATACATGGTCCCCTATCGAAGGGGAAAGGGACAAGATCTCCTGAGCAAATTTCGAGCATGGGGGAGAGGAGAAGGAGCTAGGAGAATGAGTAGGGGAGAAGAGAAAGGGTGAAGTGGACATAAGGGAGCAAGAAGTTTGTGTAGGGGGAAGAAAAGAGGAGAGCAAAATAAGAGAGGGAGCCAGTATAGGTTTAAAGAGAAATCAGTCACTAGGGAAATGTCTACAAGGATGACACCAACTAACCATC